TGGCTTAATCAGACTTTGAACAACCCGACCTGAAAAAAATTCAGGTTAACGCTAACGCTAACCAGTTAACGCTAACCCAGGCTTAAAAGTTAGCCGAAGTATCAATTTTTCGTGTATAAAAATGTTTTTCACTGCTTATGTTTTGTGTGGTTTGAGATTATTCAAACTCAGAAGACAAACAATATGAGCAGAAAAACTCACCGCCAAGTTAAAAAAATTCAAATCAAAAATCTCACATATCCTGGGTTGGCTTAATCAGACTTTGAACAACCCGACCTGAAAAAAATTCAGGTTAACGCTAACGCTAACCAGTTAACGCTAACCCAGGCTTAAAAGTTAGCCGAAGTATCAATTTTTCGTGTATAAAAATGTTTTTCACTGCTTATGTTTTGTGTGGTTTGAGATTATTCAAACTCAGAAGACAAACAATATGAGCAGAAAAACTCACCGCCAAGTTAAAAAAATTCAAATCAAAAATCTCACATATCCTGGGTTGGCTTAATCAGACTTTGAACAACCCGACCTGAAAAAAATTCAGGTTAACGCTAACGCTAACCAGTTAACGCTAACCCAGGCTTAAAAGTTAGCCGAAGTATCAATTTTTCGTGTATAAAAATGTTTTTCACTGCTTATGTTTTGTGTGGTTTGAGATTATTCAAACTCAGAAGACAAACAATATGAGCAGAAAAACTCACCGCCAAGTTAAAAAAATTCAAATCAAAAATCTCACATATCCTGGGTTGGCTTAATCAGACTTTGAACAACCCGACCTGAAAAAAATTCAGGTTAACGCTAACGCTAACCAGTTAACGCTAACCCAGGCTTAAAAGTTAGCCGAAGTATCAATTTTTCGTGTATAAAAATGTTTTTCACTGCTTATGTTTTGTGTGGTTTGAGATTATTCAAACTCAGAAGACAAACAATATGAGCAGAAAAACTCACCGCCAAGTTAAAAAAATTCAAATCAAAAATCTCACATATCCTGGGTTGGCTTAATCAGACTTTGAACAACCCGACCTGAAAAAAATTCAGGTTAACGCTAACGCTAACCAGTTAACGCTAACCCAGGCTTAAAAGTTAGCCGAAGTATCAATTTTTCGTGTATAAAAATGTTTTTCACTGCTTATGTTTTGTGTGGTTTGAGATTATTCAAACTCAGAAGACAAACAATATGAGCAGAAAAACTCACCGCCAAGTTAAAAAAATTCAAATCAAAAATCTCACATATCCTGGGTTGGCTTAATCAGACTTTGAACAACCCGACCTGAAAAAAATTCAGGTTAACGCTAACGCTAACCAGTTAACGCTAACCCAGGCTTAAAAGTTAGCCGAAGTATCAATTTTTCGTGTATAAAAATGTTTTTCACTGCTTATGTTTTGTGTGGTTTGAGATTATTCAAACTCAGAAGACAAACAATATGAGCAGAAAAACTCACCGCCAAGTTAAAAAAATTCAAATCAAAAATCTCACATATCCTGGGTTGGCTTAATCAGACTTTGAACAACCCGACCTGAAAAAAATTCAGGTTAACGCTAACGCTAACCAGTTAACGCTAACCCAGGCTTAAAAGTTAGCCGAAGTATCAATTTTTCGTGTATAAAAATGTTTTTCACTGCTTATGTTTTGTGTGGTTTGAGATTATTCAAACTCAGAAGACAAACAATATGAGCAGAAAAACTCACCGCCAAGTTAAAAAAATTCAAATCAAAAATCTCACATATCCTGGGTTGGCTTAATCAGACTTTGAACAACCCGACCTGAAAAAAATTCAGGTTAACGCTAACGCTAACCAGTTAACGCTAACCCAGGCTTAAAAGTTAGCCGAAGTATCAATTTTTCGTGTATAAAAATGTTTTTCACTGCTTATGTTTTGTGTGGTTTGAGATTATTCAAACTCAGAAGACAAACAATATGAGCAGAAAAACTCACCGCCAAGTTAAAAAAATTCAAATCAAAAATCTCACATATCCTGGGTTGGCTTAATCAGACTTTGAACAACCCGACCTGAAAAAAATTCAGGTTAACGCTAACGCTAACCAGTTAACGCTAACCCAGGCTTAAAAGTTAGCCGAAGTATCAATTTTTCGTGTATAAAAATGTTTTTCACTGCTTATGTTTTGTGTGGTTTGAGATTATTCAAACTCAGAAGACAAACAATATGAGCAGAAAAACTCACCGCCAAGTTAAAAAAATTCAAATCAAAAATCTCACATATCCTGGGTTGGCTTAATCAGACTTTGAACAACCCGACCTGAAAAAAATTCAGGTTAACGCTAACGCTAACCAGTTAACGCTAACCCAGGCTTAAAAGTTAGCCGAAGTATCAATTTTTCGTGTATAAAAATGTTTTTCACTGCTTATGTTTTGTGTGGTTTGAGATTATTCAAACTCAGAAGACAAACAATATGAGCAGAAAAACTCACCGCCAAGTTAAAAAAATTCAAATCAAAAATCTCACATATCCTGGGTTGGCTTAATCAGACTTTGAACAACCCGACCTGAAAAAAATTCAGGTTAACGCTAACGCTAACCAGTTAACGCTAACCCAGGCTTAAAAGTTAGCCGAAGTATCAATTTTTCGTGTATAAAAATGTTTTTCACTGCTTATGTTTTGTGTGGTTTGAGATTATTCAAACTCAGAAGACAAACAATATGAGCAGAAAAACTCACCGCCAAGTTAAAAAAATTCAAATCAAAAATCTCACATATCCTGGGTTGGCTTAATCAGACTTTGAACAACCCGACCTGAAAAAAATTCAGGTTAACGCTAACGCTAACCAGTTAACGCTAACCCAGGCTTAAAAGTTAGCCGAAGTATCAATTTTTCGTGTATAAAAATGTTTTTCACTGCTTATGTTTTGTGTGGTTTGAGATTATTCAAACTCAGAAGACAAACAATATGAGCAGAAAAACTCACCGCCAAGTTAAAAAAATTCAAATCAAAAATCTCACATATCCTGGGTTGGCTTAATCAGACTTTGAACAACCCGACCTGAAAAAAATTCAGGTTAACGCTAACGCTAACCAGTTAACGCTAACCCAGGCTTAAAAGTTAGCCGAAGTATCAATTTTTCGTGTATAAAAATGTTTTTCACTGCTTATGTTTTGTGTGGTTTGAGATTATTCAAACTCAGAAGACAAACAATATGAGCAGAAAAACTCACCGCCAAGTTAAAAAAATTCAAATCAAAAATCTCACATATCCTGGGTTGGCTTAATCAGACTTTGAACAACCCGACCTGAAAAAAATTCAGGTTAACGCTAACGCTAACCAGTTAACGCTAACCCAGGCTTAAAAGTTAGCCGAAGTATCAATTTTTCGTGTATAAAAATGTTTTTCACTGCTTATGTTTTGTGTGGTTTGAGATTATTCAAACTCAGAAGACAAACAATATGAGCAGAAAAACTCACCGCCAAGTTAAAAAAATTCAAATCAATAACCCGACCCAGGAGCTCCGCTTTTAGGCTTGCTTTCATTCTAAAACGCATCAAATGTTTTCCATTCACGCCACTCAGGAGAAATTTAAAAATGCAACAATAACTGATCATTTTACATTTGTGTTTGAGTAAAACTCGCGCAGGGGAAAATCGTGATGATCGTGACGTCATCTTTTTCGAAAAGCTTCGTTTTCAAAATGTTTTCTGTCCTAACTACAACGCAAAGCCGGCGTTTTCAAATTCCTCCGGTGTGAAGAGCGTTTTCAAAAAGCTCCGTTTTCGTGACAGATTAATGTTGACGGAAGGCTTAACCAGAGAAATAAAGTACTCCGGCGTAGTATGGACGAGGTCTGGGTCGACTTGTTTTTCACTGGCTATTTAAGCATCAAAAATTGCCACTGTTTACAGACGATCCATTTTCCACTGTATAATTTGAGTGCGGGCTCCCAACCACTTCGATTTACTCGAAGCTAAATGTTTACGTGTATTTTACCCTAAACGATACATATCGCAAGGTACACAAGGGATAGATGAAAGCTTTCGTTTAAAGAAAACAGGGATGACCTGCTGATCAACGTGCTTCAGGAGAATTTAATGCACAGGAGTTCAACACGTCAAAATATAGCCTAGTCGATAATTTGTTCCATTCGAGACATTAAGAACTGACAGCGTATTGTCAATCTTTACATATTCAGAAAGGTAATGTTTCCTGTGGAAATCTAGCTTGCTTTTGTTTACGTGACCTAGCCGGTGATATCAACACAATTGCCTCACGGTAGTGTAAAGAGAGTAAAGCTAAAAAATACATGTTCATGAGAATAAGGGTAAGTAGATTTCTTGGGACGCCGGGTTTGGCTTTAGTTTGAAGACTAGACCAAATTGGTGATGTTGTGAAAATCGCCCTACGGCATTCTGAATTTGATACTAGCCAGTTCTTAGGAAAGCTAAAGCAAAAAACTGTGTTTTGACGAGAATAAAGTACCTATAAATTTTTTAGCAAAGTTTTATTTGGGCATTGAAAATATAGAAGGATTAGCCTTTGATTTAAAGGGAATTTTGTCAGAATCTTTTGGCAATTCTGCTTTTCATTTATTTAGATCTGTATTAATACTTGCAGACCTAATGCTAATACTTAAAAACCTAACAATCGTTGAAAAGACGCTTTTAAGAAAAAAGATATTTTTAATTTCAAACTCCCGAGCCGAGTTTGCACGAGAATTCGCTGACGGGTACATATTAT